ACTTTTAGAAAATTCTATCTAGGAGGTCGGTTTAGAAGGCCACTCTTAATAGAAGGCCACCCTAAAAAGTTTGATCCGACGGGACACAAGAGAAAGCCATGCCCTTCTATTCTGGGGGGGGGTTTATTTCATTAAAGGAACATTTTTTTAAGAACATAAGAGTTTTGTAAACAGAATTTTCAAATTTTTTGTGTTTTTCTATACTTTTGCTACTATTACTGTTTCAAAACGCTTAGTGAAAGGGACTCTGTACCCGACTCATAAAGTTTTGAAAGATACCCGGCTGTGGACTAACAATATCGAGGCTCGTTCTCCGCATATCCGCTTTGTAACAATTGGAAAATTCTCGTTACTTCACCCTCTCTATCTAACTGGGTTTAAGTTAATTCTTTGAAATACCTTTAAAGCTAGCCTCCTTATTAAAGAGTGAGCCTAAGAATTTTCACAATGCACTTCTTTATATTTGATCTTTTTCATTTTTCGAAGGTATGAAATATGCCGGCCGTTGGCATACCGAAGGTCAAACCGAACATATCGTAGCTGTTGGGGTTTATTATGTTGACGTGGATGAACAACTTGAAGGTGGCTTTCTCAAATTTCGTCCGCCTACTGCCCCTCAGCCACATTATGATTTTGAAATGGATTATGAAGTTGACAGCATTTACTCGGGGGCTGCTGTTGTCTTTCACAATTCAATGCCACATCGTTTTCGACAAATTCGTAATTTGACAAATGAAAATCGTCGTCGAACATTTTTAAATTTTTTCATCGTTGACCCGTTAAAACCAATTCCGATGAGCTTACGGAGAGTAGGAATGGCACCGGTCGATTTAATTTTACAAATACTATTAGAATGTAGCCGACGTTTGCTTGGCAACAGTAGACAGTTGGATGATTTAGCTGTAAAAAAGATTATCTCATTTCTTCCCGAAATATGGGAGACAATAGAAGAAGCCAAAGAATTTCGAGAACGTGTTCGGAAATCGATGATCGAAGATAAACAAGGCTGGGGACATATTTGTTGGGGTAATTGTGGAACTGTAGAGTTTGTGAAATCAATAACAACGCTGGAACCACGAAAACGAAGTGAACTCTACGATATACTACAACATACCGAATCAGAATAGTAACCTTGAAGTCTCTGCTACTGGTAACTGATAGCAGAGGTGGGCGAGTACACACTTTTTCAAGTACGAGTAAGAGTATTTAGTGGCAGGTACGAGTATGAGCACGGGTACAAAACAATTCTGCTCGAGTGTGTACTCGAGTGCAATTTTAAAAAAAAAACAGGATTGTCGTCGAAAAACGTTTCGTGTGATGATACTATGTGATAGGTTAGATTTCTTGTATCAGCGTAATATACGCTGTACATTTTCTCCACAAATTAAATCCAAATATTTTCCGGCTAAATAAATTTTTGAACTTAAATTTCTTCCAAGGCTAAGTAGCCATGATAGTAAAGTTTAATATCTTGCACTCGAACATAAAAATGTGTCACTTTCAACTTTTGGCTAAGTCTTCTCATTTTTTTATGGATTGTGCACTTCATAAACAAATTGACAATTTTTTCCTAATTTTTGTTTTACTAACAACTTTTAATTAACTACGGCGTCATCCGTGGTTTTTATATGAAGGAAAATCAAAATTCCTGCAGAACAAAAGGAATTTTTTAATTATCTATTGGCACGCAGAATTTTCGCGTAAATTCTTCTATCGAGTGACCAGGTATCTCCTAATTCGACTAGATCGCCCTAATTTTAGAGTTTTCTCCTGGTAAAAATTCTGCTGATATTAAGAGCTGATTTTAAAGACTTTTTGCTGTTTTCTCGTTTTAAAGATATCTTGCGTTTATTCCAAAGGATAGCAGCTATTCATTTTAACTTTTTCAGTTTGTAGAGCACATCTCGAAATGTGTATCCTGGCGTTTCGGTTTACGATCACTAGCTAACTGAGAAAAACATTTACTTACTCTCAACACTCATAACAATTCATAACAATTTTCTCGAATATTTTTTAATCTATTAGTTGATTAAGATTTACAAGAATTTGGGAAAAATTTACGGGAACTAATTAATATTAATCGATAAACAAATTTGATTGCTAAGTGCATTCGTTGATGTAAGGATGACAGTATACATGACGACCGCAATCAGAGCTTGACTCTAATATAGCTGTTTGCTCTTCTAAAAACCTCATAAATCGGCCTGTTTTTCTGATCCAAGTGATCTTGCTAGGTGAAATATTATTGATTTAGCAAATAGTGTAGAGTAAGCCCTTCTTTGGGATATATTTCTGCTGAAAAAATATGTCGCAGAATCCTGAACGGAAAGTTTAATAGGAAAAAAATTCTGCATAGTTTGCAAAAAATTTCGCCGTGAATTAGTGGTTCCCACCGAAAAATTGAAACTCGCAACGAAAAAATATTTTCCCGCAGGAACTTGTGGAAGGAATCACGCTCATTTTTTTTACAGTGTTCTGCTGAAAAAATATTCGGCAGAATCCTGCATGAAAATTTCCACAGAAAAACAAACTTTTCTACAGAAAAATAAGTTTACATACGTTCAGAAAAAACATTTCGTCGTGAAAAGTTATTTGAAAAACGCCACTCTGCACTGTATTTATGGATCGATAGTAATTACCTACAATTCATCCAGAAAAACCTAATCATAAGAGAAAACCTCTTTTTCAAAACTGTTGCGCTCACGTCACAACGATCTATAATGTAAGGTCAATCTTGTGTTTGCAAAAACTTTCATGCGTCATTTTATCAACAATCGAACAGTTTCACATTCTTAGTTGAAATTTTGTTTGAATGATAACCTTTCATGCCAAGGCAAAATAATACTTACCTACTCAATAAAACTGAAAGTATTTCATTTAAAATTATGATGAAATGTAAAATTGCAAAATGATTTATTTTTACTACTTAAAAATGTACTTGAGTATTTTCGAGTAGTTGAAATTTTTCTATTATCATGCTTTACAAAGAATTTTTGACCCTGCAAAATGAATGCATACAGATCACCTTTTCTTTTCTATATGTATCTTCATGTCTGACATGCACTACATGCGACATCAAGAAAAACATAAAGATACGCTAAAAGAGAAAACTCTACTGACTATGATTCTTCGTATGCTGACATTTTAGCTATCTTCTGTTCTCTTTCTGCTTTCTATTCTTTAAGTTTGAATCGAGCGGCCATCGTTTTTTCGTTTGTCGTGTATAGAATAACTTTCTTGTCGACGCTCGTGGAAGATTCTTTTCTTCTCGTGTAAAAGAAAATAACTCGAAAAACAAAACGTGAACTGTGGCTTTTCTTTTTCTATTGAAAAGTACAAAGAAGAAGCTTATTTGATCTTATTTTAACGAAATATCAATCATATCTATCCAAATTAGCTCTAAACTGTCCTTGCAACATCCGCACCAATGGAGTGAATTTTTTCTCAAAACGGCTTTATCATCCGTCTAGGCATGCACCAATTAATAATCGCTGTTAGGTCATTCAGCAAAGTCGTTTCAAATCAGTTATACAATAAGCACCTAGAGCTGCCGAAGATGCGCAATTTAATTCTCTACAAAATTGATGTTGACTATATTTTGCAGTAATGAAATTCTAGAGGTCAAACACTTCGATGCAATCAAGTTCAACCATTTCTCATTGATTCTCAGAATGTTTTGCGAACTTCTTTCTGCACTAACGACAAATACCGAGAAGATCAGGTATTTATTTCTCGATAGTGCATCAACAGCTCTTTCAAAGATATACAATATCTCCTCGGCCCGGCATTTGTTGCCGTAGTAAAAGCTCTTTTATTTAATTTTGATCATAAAAATCGCTCCTTTGCAGCAATTAGCTACTTCCTCACCCTAGAAAAATATTGGTTCACTGCTTTTGTGGTAGAAAGAAAGGTAAATCGTTTTTGTATAAAACTTTACATTAATGATCTTTTCTGAGCTATAAACGGCTTTCTCATAATGTTTTTTCTGAAGACAGCAGCTGAAAGGCGAAAATCGCGCTATTTTTGGAAATATGACTTTTAGAAAAAGTGTCATTCAACGAGTAAAAAGTAGCAATGAAAATATCTATGCAATCAGTAGACATTTTTAAGA